TGTACTGGGATTGTACAGAATCATTACACTATGTTTATAACCTGACTATGTCCAGGAATGTTACACTATGTACACAACCTGACAATGTACTGGGATTGTACAGAATCATTACACTATGTTTATAACCTGACTATGTCCAGGAATGTTACACTATGTACACAACCTGACAATGTACTGGTACTGAGTAGCATTGTTACACTATGTACATAACCTGACTGTGTACTGGGTAGCATTGTTGTTACACTATGTACATAACCTAACTGTGTACTGGGTAGTATTGTTACACTATGTACATAACCTAACTGTGTACTGGGTAGCATTGTTACATTATGTACATAACCTAACTGTGTAGTGGGTAGTATCGTTGCACTATGTACACAACCTGACTGTGTATTGGGTAGCATTGTTACACTATGTACATAACCTAACTGTGTACTGGGTAGCATCGTTACACTATGTACATAACCTAACTGTGTCAATACTACCCAGTACACAGAGTAAGGCTAGGCACAGTGTAACAACAATGCTACCCAGTACCAGTACACAGTCAGGTTATGTACATAGTGTAACGATACTACCCAGTACACAGTTAGGTTATGTACATAGTGTAACAATGCTACCCAGTACCAGTATATATATATATATATGTGCACAAAGTGTTGTTAAATATAAAAACCATAGTTTTTGAAATATATGGGATTCAATTTAATAAATTATAAAAGTTGAGAGAAAAATCACTCTTTATAACTTTACACTTTCTTTTTTTCTTAGGAAAGAACCGGATTAATATTATTCGCTGGCATTTCTACGATTTTTTGTTTGGAGGGAAGAAAGAAGTTCAAATGTTGATGAATACAAAACAAATATTTTTTTCTCTTTTGTAAGAAGTGTCTATTTGTTCTTTTTAATTGACCAGTTCGAGATTATCTAGCAGCGCCACGACGCGAGTAATTTGCAAATCACCTAAAGGGTGTATTCTCTGACGTCTCACGTACTTCTGCAGGCTAAGAGAACAAGAACTTGGCTTAAGATATTTTAAAAGTATTTATAAAATAAGTGGTCAAATGAACTGGCTCTGATACCACATATTAAAGACAACAACACAATGTATTATGTAAAATGAAAATGTGTAAAGTTACCAGTATTTCTGGAATATTTGAAAAATGTAGTTGTATCATCTACAGACTGTTTTACTGGCGAGAACAAAAATTAATTATTATTATTATAGTTGCGTATCTTCATATGACAAATTCTAAATTAAAATACATAGATATTAGTAACAGTGTTTAATAGTAATAATCAGTATAGTAGGCCTTACAGTGATGACTTTGTTGTAATTAAGCACAATGCTACACAATGGGCTGTCTGTGCTCAGCATCCGTTGTAAGTTCACAGACATGCCATTAGGGGGCTCCTAATGTCTTAATGAATTATTTTAATACATTTATTTTGTATTTCTTTCTGTTCAAGTTACGTAGTTAGACTAAACCGTCCATCCAAGAAAAAAAATACATTAGCGGTTTTATCTCAGTGGGAGTCGTATTGTAGGGAGAAATTTAAAAATTTAAGACTAAATCCTGATATCTCCTATGGGGGTCTAGCCCCCAGTGGACACACCCCTGGCATTACTTGTACTCTACTTTTTAAATTCACTGATAATTATATAACTGTTAATAAATTAATTCTGCACAACAATTAAAAGTAACTTTTGTGTACATTTCCAATATTGGGGGGAAGGAACTAGAATTTTACTAAATATAACTCCTGTACTGATTCATTGTGTAGAAAAGTTTTATCATGTCTGAATAATATCAATTTATTATGATAACAAAAACTAAAAACCGTTTTCTAATAACGAATACTTAAAGTTTTATATCCCACCATTAATTATAAACTAATGTTTAATAATTTATACCGTTTATATTCAGTATCACACCCTAATGTCAATAAAATAGAAACAAGCCAAATATTTGAAAAGTAAAAACTAATTTACTTTTATTTAAAATCAACACTATATATTTGCTTTCTTAGTTATTTCACTTCAAATTGTTATTGCATACAAACACGTTGTTAACTCTGTGGTAGCTAAATATGTAACTTCTAAAAAACCAACAATACCCAATACACAGAGTAAGGCTAGGCACAGTGTAACAACAATGCTACCCAGTACACAGAGTAAGGCTAGGCACAGTGTAACTACCCAGTACCAGTACACAGTCAGGTTATGTACATAGTGTAACGATACTACCCAGTACACAGTCAGGTTATGTACATCGTGTGAATATCATACATTCATATACGTTGGGCCAGCTTTACAGGAGTTATAAGAGAGGATGCAATGATGGATTAGTTTAAATTTTCACTTTTCTGAAAGGTATGTTTGCAAAAACGGCTTTGAATGATGAAATGGTCCCTGTTGTCAGTTGGTTATATTATTATTACTGACGTTAGTTAGGTCTCACTTGGATTACTATGTACAGTTCTGGTCTTTTTTACCAAACAAATATTGACTTATTAGAAATGGTCCAAATGTCTACTACTACTACTAGTATCATTATGGGATTAGAAAGGTTTTCTTTAAGAGATGGGTTATCCCTACCACCTCTTTTCTCTTGAGAAAAGGGTAACCTTAGCTGATGATAGTAATTATTTATTGGTATTCAGTTTAAGTTTAAAAATATAATACGATTCTTTACGAGATTACCCAAGACTGGCAAGAGATCGATATGGTCAAGGCCTACGAGTGCGATTTGTTTGTGCTGTACTCTGAAGATTTAAAAGTTGAAATCTTCACAAGTTTAAAATTAGTAAAAAAGCGACAGGCTATACTACAGTTACTACACTTTTATTGTTCTAATACTAACAGGGTGATTGACTATATTGTATTACTATTAGTATACATTAATTTGAATTAATTATTAAGTTTATGCAGTGTACGACTTCGATTGTTCGATGAGTGCGAGTCCACAAACGTAAAACTAAAAACTACCTCTGATGTAACCATTAAATGTTTATGTACAAGAAGCCTTCTTTTACTTTCTGATTCGCAGTTTTTTGTTTCATTCTCATAATAGCTTAAATATAAATCACGTTTTACTTACATATAGTTATTACTAACATCGAAGCCCTTATATTTATTACTATAATGTTTACGTTCAGCGCGCAATTATTTAAGAGCGCCCTCTGTCAACATGAAGTTTTATCGACAACTAATTAAAAAAGTTTTATTTGAATAACTTCTTTGCATTATTTTATACAAAGTTATTTCGAGAAGCAAATTTTGCCAGCAAAATTATTCTTAATATAAACTGTAAAACATTAAGATTTTATTTTCTACAGTAATAACTTCCAATTAAAATTACTTTTCAAACACTGTGATTAGTTTGTTAGCATCACCATGGGGGAAGAAGGTTACAAATTAAATTCACGTGTTTAACAAACGTCGATAGAGAAAATTTAAAAATTATACATCACATCAGTTCGGAGCAAACAACTACTACTTTTGGAAATTAGTTCCACAACTTAAGTCATCTGCCCTTTTAGAAAAATCAAGTTGTATTTAATAGAGCCTGGTCTTTTTCTTTACTTAACTTATGGTTTATTATATTCTCAATGATGTTTTTGTGTAGAGAGATAATTACTTCTTTTACTTGTCTATAAATACACATTCAAATTCTTATACATAATTTCAATTTACCATTAGTTTGTTAGTTCTGTTCTACATATAAATTAGTATCAGGTTTTCTCAAAGGCTGTTATATATATTCATTTCAGGTAAATTAGTAAACTGATAAGAGCCTAAATTTTGGGTTATAACAGGTTAAAACTAAAATCACTGTATCAGCCAGAAGCATACAGGTTTGTCTCATTTATAGAAACAATGAGTGTCTAGGTAGATGAAGGAATGATGATATTAAAAACTGGTTATCACCAGAGTAGATGACAATAGGAATGATTGTATTAAAAACTGGTTTTCACTAGACTAGATCACAATAGGGATGATGGTATTAAAAACTGCTTATCCCGGAGTAGATGACACTATGAATGATGGTATTAAAACTGGTTATCACCAGACTAGATGACGATAGGAATGATGGTATTAAAACTGGTTATCACCAGACTAGATGACAATAGGAATGATGGTATTAAAAACTGGTTATCACCGGAGTAGATGACAATAGAAATGATGGTATTAAAAACTGGTTATCACTATATTTAGATGACAATAGAAATGATGGTATTAAAACTGGTTATCACCAGAGTAGATGACAATAGGAATGATGGTACTAAAAACTGGTTATCACTATATTTAGATGACAATAGGAATGATGGTATTAAAACTGGTCATCACCAGAGTTACTGTCATCTACTCTGGTGATAACCAGTTTTAATATAATCATTCCTATTGTCATCTAAATATAGTGATAACCAGTTTTTAATACCATCATTCCTATTGTCATCTCATTTAGTCACGTGATAACCAGTTTTTAATACCATCATTCCTATTGTCATTTAGTCATGTGATAACCAGTTTTTAATAGCATCATTTCAATTAATGTTAACCTGCAGGTAACCTCAACAACAGAAGACACTGTACTATTAAAATTAATGTTAACCTGCAGGTAACCTCAACAACAGAAGACACAGTACTATTACAAATAGTATTAACCTACAAATAACCACAGGTATTACAATACAAGAGAAGGTTCACATGTAATTTTATATCAAGTACTTCTTACTTATAATCTTGTCATTCATCTGCGAGCTTTCCATTATTCTCTCTTCCCAGTTATTATCTTCTTCATCTTCATCATCTTTAGTACAATTACTGAACCTCTCCATTGATTTCTGTTTACAAAAGGATATCTAAGAAAAAATCTATTTTCATATTAAAACTTTTCAATTAGAATTGTTAGAAATATCTACTCAAAACATCACAAGTTGACAATTTAAACTTAAAAAATCTTCAAGAATGATGATAAGAACTTCTTGAAAATGTCTAAAAATATTCTAATTTAATATCTGTTTAATTTATTCAGAAATTATATATTTATATATATATTAATGCAAATATATTTTTTTAATTATTTGATTAACTACTTGGACATTAATATTCAAAAACTGTTGATGATTGAACCAATTCTGTGAAGAAAACAATAACTGTGTAATAAAAATGTAGACAATACAACCAACTTTTCAAATGTTTGACTTATCTAACTACAATATTAATACCATCATTCCTATTGTCATCTAAATATAGTGATAACCAGTTTTAATACCATCATTTCTACTGTCATTTAGTCACGTGATAACCAGTTTTTAATAGCATCATTTCTATTGTTTAGTAGTACGGTGTCTTCTGTTTATTGAGGTTACCTGCAAGTTAACATTAATTGTAATAGTACAGTGTCTTCTGTTGTTGTGGTTATTTGTAGGTTAATACTATTTGTAATAGTACTGTGTCTTCTGTTGTTGAGGTTACCTGCAGGTTAACATTAATTGTAATAGTACGGTGTCTTCTGTTGTTGTGATTATTTGTAGGTTAATACTATTTGTAATAGTACTGTGTCTTCTGTTGTTGTGGTTACCTGCAGGTTAACATTATTTTTAATAGTACAGTGTCTTATGTTGTTGAGGTTACCTGCAGGTTAACATTAATTGTAATAGTACGGTGTCTTCTGTTGTTGTGGTTATTTGTAGGTTAATACTATTTGTAATAGTACAGTGTCTTCTGTTGTGGTTATTTGTAGGTTAATAC